GATGAAGTACCAGCTATTGTGAAAATTTTTCATGAACTCATCCTCACCCAGTTTAATACTCGTATCAAAATATTCCGCTCTGACAATGCTAAGGAGTATTTTGAGAGAACCCTCTCCACCTATCTTGAAACTTTTGGGGTTATTCATCAAAGTTCTTGTTCCTACACTCCGCAACAAAACAGGGTGGCGGAAAGAAAGAACAGGCATGTGGTTGAGGTTGCCAAATCCCTCTTGTTTGCATCCCATGTTCCTGTAAAGTTTTGGGGAGATGCTGTTCTTACTGCTACCTTTCTGATCAACCGTATGCCCTCTTGGGTCCTTGGCTTTAAAACTCCTTTTAGTCTTCTCTTTCCTGATGAGGATCTCTTTTCTCTTCTTCTCCGTGTGTTTGGGTGTACTTGCTATGTGCATATTCATAGTCACCAAAGGCATAAGTTTGAACCTAAGGCTCATAAGTGTGTGTTTCTGGGATATGCTTCCACACAGAAGGGTTATTGTTGTTTTGATCCAGTTCGTGGCACTCGCTTTATATCTCAGAATGTCACCTTTGCAGAGTTGACTCCCTTCTTTAGTGTTCCTTCCGAGGGGGAGAAATCTGATGAGCCCTTTGCTATGTCTCCAGCTGTTCCTCTTCCCATCCCTTGTGAGTCCGATTATGGGGTGTCCACTTCTTCCACTGGACCTACCTTTGATATCCCTGCTCCTCCTCTTTCTGCTCCTGCTCTCCAAAGGTGGTACCAAAGGCAGAGATTCAGACATGTGCAGGTTATTTACAAAAATAAAAAGAGTCATACAACCTGGGGAGTGATAAGGTAGAATCCAACTGCATCCTAGTACTTTGTTTTTATTTGTTATGTTTGTTAACAGGTCTTGTCTTTTTGTGTCTATTAACTTTTCTCTTTTCTATGGTTGTGAGTTGGCTGCCCCTTTAAGGGCAGATTTGTAATTGTCCTCATTATGTTAAGTTTAATAAAGATTAGAGGAGAAGGGGAGACATGGCCTCGAGCCATCTTCTTCCTTTCCTTTCTTAATCTTCTTCTTCCTTTTCTCTATAGTTTCTCTTCTTTCTTCCCTCCTTTTTCACATATAATTTGAGATTTATTTTCTGATTTATTGGATTGAATCACATCTTGAAACAGATACTAGGAATTAATAAAAGGAACATTACCAATTTTGCTCCTAGCTATCTAGGGTGTGTTAGACAGTGTATGCCCTTAGCTCCAATCAGATTGATTTACATAAACATTTATCAGTAAATGAATAAAGTACATTATTGTTTTATGTTCAAATTGGTGTGTTTCTGTGAATTACTCTTTAAATTAGACACTTATGAGATTCGTGTTAGTTTAGAATGCTCTTAGCCAAGGGATAGACTTGGGGAATTTATTCTAACAAGGGTGACACTAGTGTACTGCGGAATTGGTGGAGTAGCTTGTCTTAGCTGCTAGGGTTAGACCTTAAGCACAGCTAGTGGGTGTTTGGAAGAAACGTTGAAACTGAACCAATTTTTAGTTATGCCTTGGACCTTGTAGATAGATGGGCAAAACTGAAAAGTTCACTTATCAACAAATTTGATTATGATACTGACTAGGTTTTGGACTGAATTGTCTTTGATATGCCAAACAGTGAGATCCATTTTGGGTCAAATATTTGGGTATGTTGGGGCAGTTCAGGAAACTACCTGAGTGGGTGATCATAGTGATAGGATTGATTCCTTTGTCAAAGTGAATATTAGGGTTTTTTTTACTCTTTGATGGAAACCTAAATTGCTAGTAGTGGATTTCAACTTTATTTGAAATTTGATTTGTAAAGTGTATTTATATGTTATATTATTACTATATTATGGAAAATGTTTGCAAAAGGTTTTAATCCCGGGATCCATTCGAGCAAAGAGTGTGACGCTGCACTTTGCATTCAGAGAAGAGGCCCTTTCTTGTGTGTAGTGTTTTGATGATTTTGGGCTGAGAGGTTAGGTGTGAGAGATCATTACAAGGCTGATTACCTGATGGGCTTTATCTTATATCCTTCCATTATCTTCGGGTTTTCATAGGGTGGCTGAATCTAAGGATCATTTGTGTAAATGTTGGGCCCAAGCTGAGCCAAGCTGATTAGGTTAGGAGTTCACTACCCCTGAGTAGTGAATTTGGCCTAACCTTTTTCAGAGGTGGGGATGAACCCTTATGGACTTTCTTGTGTGTAGTGTTTTGATGATTATGGGCTGAGAGGTTAGGTGTGAGAGAYCATTACAAGGCTGATTACCTGATGGGCTTTATCTTATATCCTTCCATTATCTTCGGGTTTTCATAGGGTGGCTGAATCTAAGGATCATTTGTGTAAATGTTGGGCTGAAGCTGAGCCAAGCTAATTAGGTTAGGAGTTCACTACCCCTGAGTAGTGAATTTGGCCTAACCTTTTTCAGAGGTGGGGATGAACCCTTATGGACTTTTGTGAGAACTTCGTGGGTCCCATGCCATACCATATTCTTGCCCAAGGTGGTTATGCAACACCTTGGGACATGAACTATTAAAAAAATGGGCCTAAGGCCCATTGCTAAATGATTAGTTAAGAGGTCACATGAAGTTGTCATGTGATTTGGGTCAAAAAAGGGTATAGATCTGGGTATAGAACACCCATTCTCTTAAGAAGATAGTGCTTATCAATTAAAGATAAACTCTTAATCCAAATTTGATTTAGATCAATTCCTGATTAGATTAGGAGAGTTCTTTATATAAGGGACTAAGGAGGGACATGTAATACAATCAGTTCTCTCCATTCTCTTGCATTCTTCTCTTCTCTTTTTCTTCCTAGAAACCCTAATTCGACCTAGCTGTGTTAGGGGCTGATTTCCATCAGTTATTTACTGTGTTTTTGGAAGAAAAAAATTAGAGGATACCATGTTCACACAGCCACATCGTTCTAAGCAAGTTTGGAATCGGTTTTGCTGAAACAATGTTGCTGTATAAGGCACATAATAAAGGGTCATAATGAAAATACAAAGAAAGAAAAATATATAAGATAGAATACAATGGCGTGATTACCGTTCTTTCTACAGCTATGGCAGGTTTATTAACATGTCATTAATGTGTATTTTCTCATGCATTTGTTGGGCTAATCTGACCAACCCAACCCAATTATGAAAATCGAGATACTTGGATTGGGTCAGGATTACACATTCTTAGGTTAGGTTGGCTAGGGTTGAACTCATCAGATTGAGGCTTGGGTTTGGCTGGATCTGGTTAGGAATGAGGCACCCTTGCCATAGGTTTGGTATTTAGTAGGAAATAAGTGTTGGATCAGCTCTCTTATTCTGAATTCAATTATTGGCTCTATTAGATGAAAAATTTGTTCTCATCTTTGTTTCGTACTTGTACCAGCTAATTAACTATGTCAAAATTTCCCTAGGTTGGTATTTCTTCAGGAGCTGCTGCTGCTGCTGCCATTACCATAGCAAAAAGACCTGAGAATGCTGGAAAACTTATTTCTGTGAGAAACTTTTCCATATCTGAATTTTATTTAAGTTTCCTGATGGAAATTAACAGAAAACAGTGAAATAACCTTGATAAGAAAAAGAAACTGTTAGAGTCGGCTGTTAAGGGGTATTTTGGTCATTTTATCTTATATTAAGAGTGTGGTATAATATCTTTTATGTTTTGTTTTAAGTGTTATGTCCCATACTAATAGGGGCATAAGTATCTTTGTAACTTTAATTAGAAACATTTAAATAATATCTGGCTGACTATAGAGTTAGACTTTCTCTCTAGTTCAAACCAGAATTTCTCTCCTATCTCTTCTTCTCTTCTTTCTCCCTTCTCTCTTTCTTCTCTGTTCTGTTTCTCTATTGTTATAGGATTGAAACCAGTACAGATTAGATCTGTAATCAATTCAGAGGTCAACCCAGAATTTTGGATAACCTTGTACCCTAGTTGTCTGCAGAGATCTCATCATCGATCACTTGGAGATTCACAGAAGGGCTGAAAAGGAGTGATCGTTTTCTTCTTTTGGAGGTTTTCATGACTCTAGTTGGTGGTGCAGTGAGTGTTTCAGGTAGTTGGACAGATTGGTCCAGGGCCAATTTGTGTGGTTTAAATATGTAGGTTGAATGGGTGTTACAGTGTGAAACAGGTGTTGGTTAGTTGCAGACTTAGTGGTATGTATGTGGGGTGTGTCCAGGTGGTTTTGTGGTGCTGAAAGTTTAGGACAAGTGACTGTTATTGCTGGAAACTGTGACAGCAGATGTTTTATGCAATAATCAGCCATTAGTGGTGCAATGTGGTGGCTAGAAAGTGGTGTGATATACTAGTGAGTGAGAAGTTCTTTTTTTTTTTTTACCTTGGCAACTATGAAAGACAATAATGAACACAAATCTAGTGTTATGATTCCCCCTGATTACCTGAATGTACAGATGACTTCTATTAAACTGAATGTGCCTTAAACAAAGTCTGTAGATGTCTTCTTAGGACTAAGAAGAAAGTGAAGCATGCGAAAGAAGAAAAACCCTCAGTTGATTCTCAAGGGTATAGTTGATTCTCATACATTGCTATTGCTATAGAGAAGCAAACTGAAGTGCTGCTAAATTTGGTCAATGTAACCATTTAGTCTTTTTTGAGCATTCGCCTTCTGAGATGGTTGTGGAATAGCATGGAACCCAAGATTAGTGTGAACATTATGTTCTTAGATACAATCAAGGAGATTTGGGACCATGCAAAATTGCAACAATAGAGAGAACAACTTGAATTGTTAGTAGGGCTAAAGGTTGAATATGAAACAGTGAGAGCACAGATACTAGGTGGGTTTGCCTTTCCCTCTCTTGAGGAAGTGTTTGCTTGTCTCTGATGGATGTTTTTGGACCTACAAAGAACTCTACTACGTCTGATAGGTTTGCTTTTGTAGTGACAAAAAGGGAAGGTTGTGGAGATAAAGGATGAGTCCGAGGAGTTAAGCTAGGTGGTGGTGGTGGTGGTAGTGGTCCCATGTTCAATTGTGGTGGTGGGTGCATTGGAGGTCGAGATTCAAGGGGAGTCCATGGTATAGGACGTAGTAATGATCTGGGGAAGTGTACATATTGTGGAATGGAGGGACACATTGCCAATTTTTGTTATGATTTACATGGGCCACCTTCAACTTGGGCCAATCATGCAGTGGCTAGTGGTGGTGGTACAAGAGATGAAATTCAACAAGTTGATTAGACACCTACATCTATAGATGCCTCTAAGAAAGAATGATGAGTATTCTACGTGATGAGTATGAGCGGTTACTCTTGGCTACCTCCTAGCAGAATACAACTACCCTTGCCCACTCAGGTATGGTTTATCTGGCATCTGAACCCTCCCATTGGATTATTGACTCGGGAGCTTCCGATCATATGATTGGGAATCTAGTTGTGTTTTCTTCTCTTTCTCAGTCTTCTACATCTGACACATTTACTCTTGTTAATGGCTTCACATCTTCTATTTGTGGTTTTGGTAATGTTAAGATAGATTCATTGCCCTTGTCTTCAGTTTTTTATGTTCCCAAATTCCCCTTTAACCTTGTGTCTTCTAGTAAATTGACCAAGTCTCCTAATTTCTCCATCATCTTTTACCCTTCTTGTGTTTTTTTAGGATCTCAAGACAGGGATGAAGATTGGTGGAGGGCATGAAGCTGGTGGGTTGTAATATCTTGACGGTGGTGGTATGTTAGTAGCTCTTTAGTCATTTCTTTCTCCTCTCCAGTGGCATTGTAGACTTGGTCATCCATCTCTTAAGGCACTTAAGTTACTTGTTTTGTCGTTGAGTCGTCCTTCTACTTTGAAATGTGAGTCGTGTCAGTATGCAAAATATCGTGTTCCCTTTAGTTTTAGGGTTGATATTCATATGTCGAGTCCTTTTTCTTTGGTCCATTAGGACATTTGGGTCTAAATAAAATAGTGTCATACATGTATTTTGTAACGTTTTTTGATAATTATTCAAGGATGACATGGCTTTATCCTATGAATGAAAGGAGTGAATTGTTTGCCATTTTCCAAAAGTTTCATGCTGAAATTATCTCTCAGTTTGGTATACACATTAAAAGTCTTCGTTTTGATAATCGGCGAGAATATTTCTATACACTGTTTCAACAATATTTGGAACAATAAGGCATTATCCATCAAACTTCATGTACTTACCCCCCTTAACAAAATGGGGTTGCTGAGAGAAAGAACTGACATCTTTCAGAGATTACTCGGTCCCTTTTGCACCATATGAATGTACCTAAATGCTTTTGGAGTGATGCAGTGCTTACATCTTGCTTCCTTATTAATCAGATGCCCATTTCTATGCTTGAAGGTCATTCTCCTTTCTCTGTCTTGTTCCCCACTTTGTCTCCTTTTCCTTTCACTCCTGGGGTTTTTGGATGTATGTGTTTTGTTCATAATCTTGGGTCTGGGGTGAAGTAATTAGATGCACGATTTATTAAGTGTGTTTTTCTTGGCTATTCCAGGGCCCAAAAAGGGTATAAGTGTTATAATCCTAGTTCCTGGCGTTCTTTTGCTTTTCCAAATGCTACTTTCTCTGAGTCTGTTCCGTTTCTTTCTTGATCAGATGTCTCTCCTTCACCTCCACTTCCTGTTTCAATTGAGGACCCCATTCCTCTTGTTCTAGTTGTAACCAAGCCCTCACCTCTATTGCAACTTCCTGTTGAACGACCACCAATTAGGCAAGTGTATATGCATCGCCATGTACCGGCTTCTCCTCTAGCCTCTAGTTTCTTCTCCATCAACAGATCTAGTAGTTGTTTCCATAGTAGCCTGGCCCCCCCTCTGACCTTGACTTCCCATTGCCTTGCAAATAGGTAAATGCAATTGCACTCTTCATCCCATTTCTAATTATGTTTCTGTGTTTTACCTTTTTGTCTCCCATCAACAGTTTGTTTCTCTTCTATCTACTATTTCTGTTCCTAAGAATGTCCAGAAAGCTCTTACCTCTCCAAGGTGGTGCCAAGCAATGGAAGAACTCTTAGCTCTAGCTCATAATCACATGTGGGATCTCACCATTTTTTTTCTTGGCAAACATGTTGTAGGGTTTAAATGGGATTATATTCTTAATGTTAGAGTTAGTTAGAAAAGGGTATTTTCGTCTTTTCTCTTTATGTATTATGCTGGCTGTATGTCTCCTCACATGCAGGGGCATTTCAGTCTTTTGTATCTTATATTTTCAAATGCAAAGTATATGGTCGACTGGGTTAGATGAAGAGGCTACCCAGTTCGACACTTTCTCTCCTTCCTCTTCTTCTTCTTCTTCTTCTTTCTTCTTTTTCTCTCTTCTCTTCTCTGTTCGGCCGAGCACTTTCATGGTATCAGAGCGCTAGTGTTAGAAGCTGACTGCAACCTTCTGTCTTCTCCATCTTCCTTATTTTCGTTTTTTTTTTTTTCTGGGCGTGAGAAATCTGGGTTAGAGAAGAAGAAACCCAGGTCTTTGCGGTAACATTTAGTAGTTTGTGATGGTAGGGTTTTATTTCTGCGGCAATACCTAAGGTTTCACGGCAGTAAGGGTTCTGCAGCAACCTTTTTTTATGGTGTGAGAAATCTGGGTTAGAGGACTGTGAAGTAACCCAGATTTCTGGTTCTGGTGACAGTAGGCAACTACAGCAGTTCGAGTGAACAAGAAATCCAAGGTTTTGTTTGTGTGTGGACTGCTGTCACTATATGTGACAACTGTGGTGGTCGAGTGGGTGTAGTGGTTGTGGTCTGCCTTCTAATGAGCAGTTTCGAGAGGGATTCTGGGTGTTTTTAAATCTGCCGGTGCACAGATTAGTGGTGTTCACAGTGGCCGAATGCATGCTAGGGCAGGCTAGTGGTGACTTTTAAGTGTGTTGGTGTGGAAGTAGGACAGTAGTGCAGTAGCTGAAATTTGTTTTTGTGACCAGCTTCGTAGAGTGCTATGGCATCAGTGGGTGATTGAAGTGGTGACCAGAAATTGAGTGTGATGATATTTCCTGATTTTTTAAGTGTACAAATGACATCCATCAAATTCAACGGTGAAAACTATGTTCCATGGGCCAAAAATCAGTGTTAACTTCATGTTTTTAGATACAACAATGGATATTTGGGAACATGTGAAGAAACTCTATTCGGGACAAGACAACACTACAAGGGTTTATCAGGTTTATCAGGAATATTATGCCAGCATGAAAAATCTTCGGAATGAGCTTAACGTCTATCATCCCTTAACCTCAGACGTTAAAATTCAGCAACAACAAAGGGAACAACTTGATGTTACACGGTTCTTGGTGGGGCTGAAAGCAGAGTATGAACCAGTCAGGGCATAGATATTGGGAGGATTTGCTCTCCCGTCTCTCGAAGAAGTGCTTGCCCGACTCCGTAGGATATCTCTTAGCCCCTTGGAGAGTAACACAACTTCCGAAAGATCAGCACTGGTTAGTACTCGAGGTGGTTCTTATGGGCAGAGAGGAGGTGGCTGTACAATTAAGGGGGGTTGTAGTAATCCTATGGGTGGTCATACCAG